CTATGTGTGTGTGTATGTGTGTGTGTGTGTATGTGTGTGTGTGTGTGTGTGTGTGTATTTAAACAAGTAAACAAACACTAAAAAAGGCCGTTTAAAAACGTATGTAATAAAAAAAAAGTGTTCAATAACAAAGTAGAAACACGAACCTGTAGAACTATTAATAAATGCGTAGGTGATAAAAATCTTCAGTCGCTGAATAGACATATTTCATTATTTCTTCTTTCTTCCTTTTTTCGTTTCTTTCTTTTTTGCCTTTTCATTTATTACTTTCTTCTTTCTTTCCTTGTATGTTATAGCTTTTTATTCTGTCTTTTTCATATATATATCTTTTTTTCTTCTCTATCTTTATTCAATTCTATTCCCCCTTCTTGCTTTTTATATTTTTCTTTCTTTTCATTCATTAACTTTCAATTATTTCTTTCTTTCACATTTGCTATCATTCTATTTCGTTCTTTTTCTTTTTCTTTCTTTATTTCTTATTTTTTTCCTTCTTTGTTCTTTGCAAAAGTCACCGTTCTATTTCTTTCTTTTTTCTTAGGTTTTTATCTTTCTCTTCTTTCTTTATTTATTCGTTCTTTCATTCTTTCTTTTTTTCTTTCTACTTTTTTGTATTTGTGATCATTCTTTCTTTTTCTCTCTTTCTTTCTTTCCACCCTCTAGCTTTCTTTCCTTGTTTTTCTATCTTTCTTTCTTTTTTCTTTGCATTTGTTACCATCCTATTTCTTTCTTTCTTTCTTTCTTTATTTATTTTTTCAATATTTACTTTCTTTCTTTCTTTCTTCTTCTTTCTTTTTTGCATTGTTATCTTTAATTTTTTTCTTTGTATTTGTTACCATTCTATTTCTTTCTTTCTTTCTTTCTTTCTTTCTTTCTTTCTTTCTTTCTTTCTTTCTTTCTTTGCATTTGTTACGGTTCTATTTCTTTCTTTCTCTTTCTTTCCTCCTCTCACTTTCTTTCCTTCTATCTCTCTCTTCCTTTCTTTCTTTCTTTCTTTCTTTCTTTCTTTCTTTCTCGCTCTCTTTCTTTCCTTCTATCTCTCTCTTCCTTTCTTTCTTTCTTTCTTTCTTTCTTTCTTTAATGTTTTATTTTCCGCCTTTTCTTCTTTCTTTCTTTCTTTCTTTCTTTCTTCATTTTTCCAATCTTTTCTTTTTTTTTTCTTTCTATTCTTTTGTTTTTTCTTTCTTTCTTTCTTTCTTCTTTTTTGCATTGTTATTTTTCATTTATTTCTTTGCATTTGTTACCATTTTATTTCTTTCTTTCTTTCTTTCGTTCGTTCGTTCGTTCTTTCTTTCTTTCTTTGCATGTGTTGCAGTTCTATTTCTTTCTTTCTCTTTCTTTCCCCCTTTCACTTTCTTTCATTCTATCTCTCTCTTCCTTTCTTTCTTCTCTCGCTTTCAATCTTTCTTGCTCTCTTTTTTCTATGCATTTGTTACCATTCAATTTCTTTCTTTCTTTCTTTCTTTCTTTCTTTCTTTCTTTGAATTGTTATCTTTCATTTTTTTCTTTGCATTTGTTACCATTCTCTTTCTTTCTTTCTTTCGCTAATTCTTTTTTTTTTTTTTTTGTCCTTTTCTTTGCAGAGATTCCTTGACGCTTTTAGAATGTATGGACCGAAAACTGCACGATTTGTGTAATGTTGACTGCACCATCGCGGGAAGTGATTCATTTCGTAGCCTCGAAATGGCTTTACAGAAAACTGAAGACCTTCTCATCGACGACCTCCACATGAACGACATACGGCAACTAGAGAATGTGCAGAAACGAAACAGGGTCATACGGTAAGCTTCCGATTATGCAAGACGCCACTCTTACCTTCCCTTGATCTCTTATCTTTTCTTTCTTCTTTTAAAGTAGATATAAGTTCATTTCGACCAGAACGCTACACAAAGAAGAGAATCGAGCTTGTTTTCCTTGCTAATATCTATATTAGTCGTTTCCTTATAAGGAAAAATTTGAAATTCATTCACCGAGCAGCTAATACTACTTCCGGTTGAAATTTATAAAATCTTTCTCTAAAAACAATTTTTTTAGAAACTGTTATAACCCTTTCCAGTATTGACAGGAGTTTCCTTTCTAACCATTTCTTCCGAAGTACTGTGGAACGTCAACGTCTGAATTATATTGTAATGCCTGCTTTTAAGAAAATAAAGCAAATGGCCAGTCTAGAGGTCTCTTTCACAGCATTGCTGTAACCAGCATGTAACGAGTCCTCTGATTGGTCAGTAGATGAGCCAATGACTGCTCTGCCACGTTTCCACCTTGGCGGACAATTTAGAACCTCTTTTGAAGGCGGAGAGGCGGCCAGTGAAAATGCGCCGAGCTGAATTCTGTGAAACAATCACGTGGAAATGTAGCATTTGAATGAATATCTCTAAAGTATTTTTAATGCATTATATACGTGGTATATAAACGCCATACGGCTGCTGTAGCGTTCAATACTAACGAAGAGCGATTAATTAAAAGCAGCAGCAGCCGTTAAAAATCCCTTTCTCCATAGTGCTTAATCGGCGAACGAGAGCATAGTTATATATATATATATATATATATATATATATATATATATATATATATATATATATATATATGGAGTAATGGATAGCGGCTTGGATTGAGGAATCGGAGAGCTGAGTTCGAATTCCCGTCGAATCCGTTACATTCACTTACCTGCTAATACCCTTGGAAAAAGTATGAATCCTCTTCTTCTCCCTCCAGCTATGGGTGAAATATAGGACAGACTGGTTTCTATAGCCTTGGATGGCAACTGGTCTAGGAGAAGGACAACTCTGAATTCAAAACCTGCGGAGGGTCGTTTTGGGAACCTGTGGCATTCGGTGCACCAGGTCTCTGTATTCGTCCCTTCAAAAGTGTGGATGGTCCTGCACGAGGCCTTCACCACTATAATCAAATCTCATGTGCCGGTGTCGGGCTGTCGGTTTCTGAAACTGATCTGCTTGACACTCATACGTCGAATCTCGACAGGAGAGTCGATTATATATATCTATATATATATATATATATACACACACACACACACACATATATATATATATATATATATATATATATATATATATATGTAATTATTTACTATTTCAAAAGTATTGTCTCATCGCTACACAGGAATTACCATGTTTCAAAATAGAATCTGAAAATTACATAGTTCCATTCCATTATCAAGACAAAACAAAGGAAGATACAAGACAAAACAAAGGAAGTCGATTATGATTGGCTGAGCCAGACTCTGAATGATAAATAGAGTAAGGGTTTTCGGGGAGTCGTTTTTAACAGTCAGTCAATATAGGCGTGTTTCCTGTCGAGTCTGGAAGTGGCTTCCCAGTGGGGTCAGAGAGTGACTCCACTGACTAGTTAGAAAATGTATACGTCGACGTTAATAAAATAGCTAACATGAAAATTCCCTTTGTTGATCTCTTTTATCACTGGACCCAGAAACATTTCCACGGGAGAAGACGAGTGAGAAAATATGTAACACGTACACTCGTGTATAGACCAAGTAAAAGTTTACCAACACAGATTCAAGTATAAATTCAACCAATGTTTACATATAGGCTCAAGTACAATGTTTACCTATAGGCTCAAGTACAAACCTGACTAATGTTTACCTCTAGAGTTAAAGACAGAAGTCCGTTGATGGGGGCACATAGGCGAGATGTTTGTCTGTACTGCAAACTGATGGAAGAAGTGAGTGAACCGCAAGAGTGACTATGTTGAAAAATAAACGTCACTTCATGAGAGTACCTTGGTTAGCCTATGAACTTTTCAACCGAGCCTCGTTGTTAAATAATAGTTTATCAGACTATTATTTTTAGAGAATTGTATCGCCGCTCCGACTTCGTGAGGTTGAACTTTGAGATCAGATACAAGACAAAACAAAGGAAGTCGATTTTGATTGACGAAGCAAGCGTAAGAACGATAGACAGAAAAAGGTTTTCAAGAAGTTGAGTCGAACGTGAGGAACTGCTCCCCAAAGGGGGGAGAGAGAGAGAGAGAGAGAGAGAGAGAGAGAGAGAGAGAGAGTGAGCGACCCCATTGGTTAGTTAGAAAATGTATACGTGGACGTTAATGAACCAGTTAAGATTAAAATTCCTTTTGTTGTATTTTTATCTCCGAACTAAACTCGACTAGCAATCACTGGCTGTGAAAAAGAGTGCAACGTTATTATCAAATCAAGACCGTCGTCCAAAACTACTCCCATGACGGAGATATACAACAATATTTTTACATATTAATGTCCACTCAATACAAGGCCCAAGAGCCACTCAATGTAGACAGTTGCTGTGTGGTGTTGTATGAACAAGAAAAGACAAAAACTGAAGTTCATGTTGAGCAGGAAAAGATACCTTACACTTGATGAGGTTAAGAGTAAGGAGTAAGTTCTATTCTGGCAGCCTCTTCCCAGGAACTGCTGCTTTGTGGAACAGACTCCCTGTAGGATGCTCTCCCAATCACTATAATCTTGACCTTAAATCTATGCCTCACAAAGAAATTAAACAGTTTCTTTTCTAGTATTTATGACTTGGGGGACGTCTTTCCAGCTTTTTTGCTTTTCGGTTAAGTTTGATCTTCAAATATTTAAATGCAATGTCAATAGTCATCTTTTATCTTCTTAATTCATGTTCTTTTATTATTTTAGTTCCATAATAATGCCTTTTTCTTTCCTTATATTCTTTCACACCTCTTGTGTCTTTATTGCCTTGAATAGAGGGAAATATATATATATATATATATATATATATATATATATATATATATATATATATATATATAAACCCCACCACACGTATATACATACATGCGAGGAAATATTATTCAGCGGAAAAATAAAGAATATGACACGTATATATTCACGAGACATTCACGAGACATTTCCGCTACACTTCCAATCTTTAAATTTCAACATACAAATGCGTATGTATAGACACAACACCACCCGTATACATACATATGTCATATCCGAAACTGCCCACATATGTTTATATATGTATGAGTCCCGACGGACGACCAAGTATGTATATGTGTCTGCATACATCGATGTTTGCGTTAGTACGATGAATGACAAAACGACGAAGTTTCCCCCACCACTTCCACAATAACACCAATACACGCAATCTACATGAACCCAAAATAATCAGTTTGTCTGACGATCGCTAAAGCGTGAAACCCAGGGTCACAAAACATCTATCCAACCAAATATATATATATATATATATATATATATATATATATATATATTAATTACATTATTTGGACTATTGTTCTCATCTTTGTTGCCATATTTATCACAACGTTTCGGCCGCTGTACGCTCCGGCGTTCTTCAGGTGGTGAAATGTCGAACTGAACCTTTTATTTCGCTCGTTGGGGTAGACTGTTCTAGTTCCACGTGTCACGTCTAATGGATGTCAATTATCAGTTATCTCCTGTTAATTCCCCTCTTCAAGTTCTCCACTGCCTTAACCAGGTATTGAACTCACACTCTTTGGGTCCTGTCACTGGATCTAACTAACGCCTCAAGGACACGTAGAGCAGTGGGTAAAAGATCGTTCTTTGTGTTATGCTGTTTATACCGTTCCCACAACTTTTCGGTCGATCAATTCTTCGGACTTCTTCAGTAGTACTATCTTTAAGGAAAAAGGAGACTTTTTTCCGGGAATGCAAAAGCACATTTCAAATATTCACATGGGTACGTGTCATAGTAATTGCAGTACTGGCTGTAGTGAAATGCGTTGCTTAAAATAGAAAAGCATATTATTCTTTTTCTTTTCAAATGTCAATGAAGAATGTCGTAGAATGGATCGGCCGAAACTTTGATCTTGATGGGGGACAGTACAAAGAATAAATTCAATTGTCCGCATAGCTCTTCTGTTGAATTACTAAAACTGTATTATATCTCTAAAATATAAAAAAAAAATTCCCATATTCTTTCAGGAATTTTCTTATCGAGGATGAACATCGTCAAAATAGTCGATTCCGTGACCCTTACGCGGAGAGCATCTCCTCGGAGAGCGTCGTATCTCGCGGAAGCAGAATCCGGCAATTGCAAACTCGGGCAATCGTCGACCCGGTGGTGCCTTCCGTTGTGCCGACGTCTTCATCCCACTTCAACAACCAGGATAGGCGGAAGAAACCGGGGAAGAAAAAGCATCATCACGACCCACGCCACCGACACAAACAAGACCTCGATCTAACCAAGCTACCACCGCCTTCCGCGCTCCATCCGGCAGCCGTCCACTCTCACTACAGGCAGCGGCACAGATCCCGATCCGCCTCCTCAAGTCTGTCTCCCCGGAGATCGGAAACGCACGGCGAAGACAGCCGCTTCAACCCGTCTACGTCTTCTTCAACAGGTTCGTCAGCATCCTCGTCCTGCTCTGATTCAGAGGCGCTGTCCAGTGATTGGGAGACAACAAGCCAGGGAAGTATAGGCACGTTGAATGTTAACAGCGACATCTCAGAAGAACCTGACCAGGCAAGGGTACTGGAGGCGAGTCGTAGCGTCGACCGGGGTCCTATTTCTTGCGACTGGAGTTTCCTGCGGTCGGCGGTCCAGGACGATAAATACATGCCGAAAAATAAAGACACGCTTTCCCAGTCTTCTTTGGAGGTCTGCATCGGTTATGCTGACCGTGCAAGTTCAGCTGACTCACTCCGTCGGTACCGACTAGCTAACCATTTCCATCACATCGATAAGGACGCAAAACAAAAAAGTGGACTGATGGAAAGAGTAATTAAAGGTGATGCTGACAGGTACGAAAGTGCGTCTGGGAGTGCTTCAGTGGTCTCCAAAAGATCTAGCCAGGACCAAGAGAAACGAACAAGCATCTGCAATAGTTTTACGGGCGTAATTAGCGACTCTAGTGTAAGTTGCAGTGCCAGAGACATTAAAACGGCAGATGTACCCTTTTCTTCTGCCTCATCGTCGTCCCCAACGTCCAGCCGAAGGACAGTTATTCGAAGCGTGGCATTAGATGAGGTGAAAACAAGACAAAAGCCAGCTGCACCAATAAACTTCTGCAACACAAATGCTCTTCGGGAGGAACTGATCGGAAGGTGTCGTCAGGTGCCCATGGACATCCACAACCCATCAAGGACACCAGAAACACTTGAGGTAAAACACTTGATATATTTTAAAATTCGCTTAGGGATACAGTGGGTTGGGGCATTTTACGACATATAAAACCTTGATTGTTATTTAAAGCCGAAATCATTTAAAAAAAAATTGTACTTAATTCTATAGGTAAAAATTAGTTAAGTTTATACATGAATCGATGAGTAAACATTAGTCAGAATTATATTCAGGTCTATAAATAAACTATAATCTGGTTTATAGTTGAGTTTACTGGTTAATTAACCAGTTATTTAACCATTTAATTAGTTAATTAGTCGAGTTCGTACCTGAGTATAGGTAAACATTCGTTGAATTTATACTTGAGTTTATAGGTAAACATTATCAGGGCTCATGTTTGCGTTTATAGGTAAGTATTAGTCAGGTTAATACTTGAGTCTATATGCAAACATTGGGTTTATACTTGAATTTATAGATAAATTTAGTGGGGTTTATACTTGAGACTACATAAACGTTAGTCGGGTTTATACCTGAGTCTATAAGTAAACATTACTTTGATTTATACTTGTGTTTATAGTTAAGCATAAGTCGAGTTTATACTTGAGTCTATAGGTAAACATTATTCGGATTTTTCCTGTGTCTAGAAGTAAGCATTAGTCGTGTTTGTACCTGCCTCTATAGGTAAGCATTAGTCCGATTTAAAACTCTCGTCTAAAGGCAAACATTAGTCAGCATTATACTTGAGTTTATAGGTAAACATTATGCAGGTTTATACCTGCGTCTACAGGTAAACATTAGGCGAGTTTATACTTGAGTCTATGTTAGTCGGTTTCATACTTGAGTCTATAAGTAAACATTGATCTGACTCGTACTTTTGTTCGTAGATAAATATCGATCGGGTTTATACTTGTGGTAAATATTAGTTGGGTTTATACTTAAGTCTATAAGTAAAAATTGGTTTTATATATGAGTCTGTAAGTAAACATTGATCGGACTTATACTTGAGTCTATAGATAAATATTCATCAGGTTTATACTTGAGGTAAATATTAGGTTTATACTTGAGTCTATAGGCAAAAATGATCAGTTTTATACTTGTTTATAGGTAAACATTATGCAGGTTTATACCTGTGTCTGCAGATAAACATTAGGCGAGTTTATACTTGAGTCTATAGGCAAATGTTAGTCGGTTTCATACTTGAGTCTATGAGTAAACATTGGTCTGACTCATACTTTTGTTCGTAGATAAATATCGATCGGGTTTATACTTGTGATCAATATTAGTTGGGTTTATACTTGAGTCGGACTTATACTTGAGTCTATAGATAAATATTGATCAGGTTTATACTTGAGGTAAATATTAGGCTTATACTTGAGTCTATAGGCAAAAAATGATCAGTTTTATACTTGTCAACAAAGTTAAAAGTTTGTGAGTTTTTTTATTTAAGTCTACATTTTATAGATACAGTATATCTGTGTGTCAGAGTGTATTCTTCGTGTGGGTGCCCTCCTCCTCCTCCTCGTTCTCCTCCTCGTTCTCCTTTTGTCTCCTCCAATTCTATAACACACCACAGGAATTGTTCAACAAAATGCCTCCACGTGATCCGGTTGCTTGCTACCTCCCGAGTCTGGGCAAAACTTCGACGACGTTGTCCGAGCATCTCTTTCTTTGGTATCCCTTTCTCCTTCCTCCTTGCACTGTTCGTTGTTGAATGGTTTTGGAGAGGAATCGCTATCTGGTTACGTGTCCATATACGCGTGTGTATGTCTGTGTGTATTCGTTTCTCTGTAGTATGCATTCTGTCTCTGCGTATTTGCCTATGTAGTCTGCGTTCTGTACTTGTGTGCTGTGTGGGTGGCAGCGTATCTATGAGCGTGTGTCTGCGCATGTTTGTCTGTGGTCTGTGTGCTTATTTCTCTGTGGAAGGTGTTTGCATGTTTGAATGTATCTCAGTACCTCTGGGTGTGCGTACATGATTGAGAGATTAGTGTGTAAGTCTGTGTAACTTTCGTTACACACGGTTAATGTATGTATCTATTTGCGTGCACGTCTATGTATCTGCGAGTGCGTTTGTGCGCATGCTTGCGTGTGTATCAGTATGACTATATGTGTACATGTTTACGTGTGTGTGTGTCTGTCTACGCATGTCTTCGCGTTTCTGTGCATGCTTGGGATGCATGTGTCTTTGTGACGTAAGTTCGCTAATAGGCTTCCGAATGTTCCATTCAAATTTCTTTTCATTTTCTTCAACAGGAATCGTTTCAGGAGAAACCCTGGTAAGTTGATTTTCGTTTCTACATTCTATATATTATAATTTATAATCAACTAGCAGTAGAGCCCGGCGTTGCCCGGGGATGTAACAGTAAGAGATAGATCAAGTATCGACCATCATAAAGACTGAAAAATAAAATTGACAAAGATTATTGTTTAAGCTTGACGGACACGCATGTCTTAATTAGTTTTTTTTTTTACGAATTGGTCAAACCCAAACTCAAACAAAACATTGTTTTCAATCGTTATGAGTCTCCTGATTGAATAGAATTTTATTATAAACAATTGTCTTGTAAATGGAATTTTTAAAGCATTCTGAATGTAAAAATAAAGAAAAAAGTGTGCAAGACAATAAGAAACACTACCTGCCAAAAAAAGTGAAGTTTTGTTGAAATCGGTTGAAAAATGTAGGAAATCTGATCCCATATATAAAATAACACACACACACACACACACACACACACACACACACACACACACACACACACAAACAACCTGGGTTTTATAATAAGTATAACTCGATATGAGTTGTCCCCTTCCATTCTCGCGACAGCGATGCCTCTTAATCGTGTTTTCAAATTGATTTCGTGCAAAAAACAATTGTGTTTTTCCAATTCTTGGCGCTGTCAGAACCACCGCAAGGTAATTTTACGTAGTCCTGTGAAGTTTTGTTGAAATCGGTTGAAAATGTAGGAAATCCGATCCAATATATAAACGAACAGACATACACACACAAGCACACACACACACAACCTGGGTTTTTATAAGTAATAATATATATATATATATATATATATATATATATATATATACATTGAACATACATATAGGATATATACATATATATATATATATATATATATATATATATATATATATATCCTAGTGTATGTTCAATTCTATATATTATATTCTATATTCTATTCGATAATTACTACATCCGATAGCAAGGCCTCTGATTGGGAGATTGGAGCGTGGAACAACTTCTTAATTGCTATTATTGCCAGGTCCACCCTGGCCCGGGGTGGTAGCACCTATTAGGGTCCCAGCTAAGGGCAAATAGTGAACCGTACAAACAAAAACTAAACACTATGAAAGTATAAAATACATATTTATAGTAAAAATTACCAACAATACATTTTATCTGAAGTTAAGTCATACAGTTGTGTTCAAAATATTTAGATTTCGGCACTATTTACATTATTCGGACTATTGTCCTCATCTTTGTCGCCATATTTATTACAACGTTTTGGCCCTTTAGTATCTGTCTATATTTCTGAGATGAGATATTATGTACATTATTTACATTATTCGGACTATTGTCCTCATCTTTGTCGCCATATTTATTACAACGTTTCGGCCGTTGTACTCTCCGGCCTTCCTTGGGTGGTTGGAATGACTTAACTTCAAGGACACATGGCACAGTAGATAGCGATAGAGAGGCATACATAGATAGAGTGAGTTACATATAGAGAGAGGGAGGGAAGGAGGGAGATAGATAGATACATAGAGAGAGAGATAGAGAGAATTATATATATATAGAGAGAGAGAGAAAGAGAGATTTATAGATAGAGAGCAATACATAGAGAGAAAGAGAAAAAGCGGGAGACAGATACATAGAGAGATTTATATATAGAGAGAGGTTTATAGATAGAGAGAAATACATAGAGAATAAAGAAAGAGAGAGAGAGAGAGAGAGATGAGGTATGTTCGAAAGCACTTATATGGTTTCCAGCTCATTTCCCTAAAAGAGTGTTCCATGGATTTTTGCATCAGTTTAACAGTTTTATTTCTGTTTTTTTGTTTGTTTGTTGATTTTTTTTTTTTTTTCTTACCTTTCACTTTTGCTTAACCGAATAAAGTTGTAGGCATACAAAATATGTCTGAAATTTTCACCGACGGACATCTGTTGACGAAAAGCTTCGCTAAAAGCGTAATTTTAGCGAAAAAAAAACACCCCCCGCAAAAAAAAAATAAAGAAACAAAAACAGACAAAAAAGAACCGATCTTATGGAAATCAATATAGTTATTGTTGGGGGTGAAAAATCAACTTGAAAGCCAGGCACAAAAATGTCACTTGACATTTTCAGCAAAGACGTGAGGTAGAATGATAAAGCAGACGACAGTTGTGTGCACTTAATCAAAACTGAAGGCAGCATCCAACGCCAAGATATATAGAAGGGCGTCGCGCTCGAAAATTAATATCATGGTACGAGTATTGAAGATGTCTTCCATTTTTATTATCCTAATTATTTATCTTCAGCAATCTAACCAGATATATTAATTGAAATGGAGGATATATATATATATATATATATATATATATATATATATATGTGTGTGTGTGTGTGTGTGTGTGTGTGTGTGTGAAAAGTGTATATAAATAAATATGCATATGTATAATTATTTATATATTATATGCGCGGTACTTATTAGAAAGAGCTCAATATCAGAGATAGAGCTAACATAACAGAATCAGTTTGTCTGACGATCGCTAAAGCGTGAAACCCAGGGTCACAAACTCACATCTATCCAACTAAATATATATATATATATATATATATATATATATATATATATATATATGTGTGTGTGTGTGTGTGTGTGTGTGTGTGTGTGTGTGTGTGTGTGTGTGTGTGTGTGTGTGTGTGTGAACTAAGTAGATACACAACTAAAAAATAGATATGGAGATGTTTGGATTTATAGATACACACAGCTATGAACAGAGATATATAAATAGATAGATATGAACAGACAGAAAGAGATAGATAGATAGATAGATAGATAGATAGATAGATAGATAGATATGAACAGATTGAGATATAGATATCTAGATACCAACAGATTGGAGATAGATAGATAGATAGATAGATATGTACAAACAGTTAGATATCTATCTATCTATCTATATATATATATATATATATATATATATATATATATATATACATAAAAGTGAACATTGAAGTCAACCCTCAGTGACAGGTTGTTTTCATGCTAGACGCAATCGTCAGGAGGCCTGACGATTGCGTCTAGCATGAAACAGCCTGTCACCTGTCTCTGATATTGAGCACTTTATCTCCTAAATATAGCACACCTTTACGCTATATATATATATATATATATATAGTAATGATACAATATGGTAATGTATATGGAATTTCCAGGAGGATAAAGATCCAGACAGAGCTCTATATCAAAAGAAAGGGCAAAATTATTGTTAGTTAATGAATATTAAACACTTAAAATACCATAGGTAATAATTTTCATTTCATGGGAGCTCTAAATAAGCACCTCTCAATCTATCTATCTATCTATCTATCTATCTATCTATCTATCTATCTATCTATCTGCGTGTGTGTGCGTGTGTGTAGCGTTATATATATATATATATATATATATATATATATATATATATATATATAAAATAAACCTAGTGAACCAGAAAAACCTACCCAGGTTTTACTTAAACGGATCATAGGTTTGTCTGGCTCACTTGGTTTATCTAGGTCTGCTCTACGGTTGTATTGAGCTCTTTAGTTAGTTGTTTACTTGTATCGGATTTTTTTCTTTGGGCTTCAAACCTGTATCTGTGCGAGTTTTTTCGACAGACTTTCATGTTTCTAGCTCTTTTCTTTTCTAAAACCTTTTTTCCCTCGAGATTGATTACTGGCAAATCAAAATTCGAAGGTTTTTCGAAAAAGTATATATTATATATATATATATATATATATATATATATATATATATATATATATATATATATATATAAAACGCTACGCAAATCCAATCATGTTATTTATTTATTATATATATATATATATATATATATATATATTTAAATACACACGCACAAATACACACACAGATAGATAGATAGATAGATAGATAGATAGATAGATAGATAGATAGATAAAACTTTAAACAAATGCAATCATGTTTCGATGCGTATTAACACACTTCATTAGTCATTAGCTAGTAACTGGTAAGTAGACAATTTTTTGATATTTAAAAACAAGATACGACCTCTTTTAGACCAAGCATCCTACACGGATCATGAACCCTACCAGATTGGAAATTGGAAGTATAAGCAAAGTTATCATTGAACGTGTAAAAAACAGATTCAAAAACGGCATGGACTTATTCATTGCTACAACAGAGGTCATTAACTGGTTTAGAAGCATCGGCAACAAAAGCAGCTGCACTTTTATCCAGTGTGATATCATCGATTTCTTCTCTTCCATCTCCAAGGACCTAAAATTTGCTAACATTTCAAGTGAACAGATAAGCACTATAATGAACTGTAGGAGATTTGTTCTCATCTAACAATAAAGAATAATAGGTCAAGAATTCTAATAATAACTTTGACATTTCAATGGGATCATTAGATTCAGCTGAGTCTTCTGATCTGTTTGGTTTATATATTTTATTTTACCTTACTGACTATGAGAAGATCAATCTAGATAGTATAGGGCTATATAGAGACGATAGTCTTATGGTTGTAAAAAAAAGCTTCACGAAGATTAAGGTAGATAATCTAAGAAAAATATATTCATAGGAACTAAAAAGTTTAGATCTTAAGGTTAACCTTAAGATCTAAACTTTTTAGTTCCTATGAATATATAAGCAACAATATTAAACAAGTAAATTTTCTCGGAGTCACGTTAGATCTAGTTAATGACAATTTTCATCCTTATATGAAAAATAATACCTACTCAATTTATATTTAGCCCAATTCCAATCACCCGCCATCAATAATCCAATATATTCCTTCCTCTGTAGAACGTAGAATCAGTAACCACTTATTGGACAAAAAACGTGTTTGGGAAACGTAGCAGTTTAAAGAATAGCGGGTATAAGTGCGCTGAAACTCAGTTTAGACAATATGATGAGGAATAGGAAGATCATCTGGAACACACGAATATTTAATCAATTAGTTAATACTAAGTTAGGCCATAAGTTTCTCAAATTGATCGATAAATATTTTCCGAAAAGCTACACTCTTAGTA